AAACTATAGAAAGGAAAGAAGACCAAAGATAGTAGTAAGTATGTGGACAAATCCATATGTCATTAACTTTATAACTACAGCAATAATAATGCCTTATGTAGATTGACAAAGACAAAACAAAAATACATGACAATAACATGTGTGTGTCAGAAGAGGGACTTGTAAATAGAGTTAATGAATTCCAAACTGATAGAGGAAAAAATGGAATAATAAATTCCATAATAAATGGAATAATAAAAAAAGGACCAAAAATGGACAGAAAAAATATTATATACTGTTTATAAAGATATGGAAAAGTTAGAATAAAAAGATGAAAAAACACATACTATGCAAATAGTAAAAAAGGAAAGCTAGTAAGCTTTGATACTATTAGACAAAATGGACTTTAAGGCAGAAAGCACTACTAGAAGTAACAATGTATATAAAAGACTCAATCACCACAATACATAACAACATTAAAATTATATACTCGTATACCTAATACCTGGTCTCATAATATTGGGTCGTCAGGAAAGTCATGATGCATTTTTGCACTGAAAAACAGAAAAATATGTCATGACTTTCCCGACGACCCAATATATTAAGGAAAAATAGACCCAGAAATGTAAGTAGAAATAGTCTATAATCATAGTAGGAGACTTTAACACACAAATCTCAAGAATTGATGAAATAAGCAGACAAAAGAAATTCAGTAAGAACAAAGAAAATCTGAACTAGGCAATAACTAAACTTGAAATCGCACCCAATAATTACAGAATATACCTTTTCTTCAAGCACACACAGACCATTCACAAGGCTGCCCATGCACTGGGGCCATAAAGCAAGTTTCAAATATTCCAAAGGACAGAAATATTAGAGTACATTTTCTGAATATAATGCAATTATCATTAAAAACAACAAAAAAGATAACTATAAAATTCCCACACTTTAGGATATTAAGAAATATTCATCTAAATAATCCATAGGCTAAAAAAAAGCAATTAAGAATATTTCAAACTACACAATAAAAATATTACCTATAACTTGTGAGATACAGTGAGAGCACAACCTAGTGGCAAATTTATATTTTAAAATGTATTAATAGAGAAAAAGTTAAATATTAATGAACTGAAAATCCACCTTATGAAGTTGGAAAAGGGCAGCAAATTAAACCCTGAAAATGTAAGAGAAGAAATAATAAAGAGCAAAACCTAATNACAGTTCCTCATGTTGTGGTGACCCCCAACCATAAAATTATTTTCGTTGCTACTCTATAACTGTAATTTTGCTACTGTTATGAATCGTAATGTAAATATATTTTTGTTTTCCCATGGTCTTAGGCAACCCCTGTAAAAGGGTCATTTGACCCCCAAAGGGGTCGCGACCCACAGGTTGAGAACCGCTGGGGTAGAGTTTCAGTTTGGGAAGATGAAAAATGTTCTGGAGATGGATGATTGCAATGGTTGTACAATAATGTGAAGGTACTTAATACCACAAAACTGTAGCACTTAAAAATGGTTAAAATGGCAAATTTTACGTACATTTTACAATTAAAAAATAAAAATAATCAGTACTGATATATACTATTACATGACACAGAAAAACCTTGAAAACATTATCTGCATGAAAGAAGCCAGACACAAAATATCACATATTATGATTCCATTCATATGAAAATGTTCTAAAATTGTGGTGATAATTGCACATATCTGTAAACATACTAAAAACTACTGAAATGTACACTTTAAATGGGTGAATTGTATGGTATGTGAATTATATCTCAATAAAGCTGATAACATTTTTTAATTACTTTTAAATCTAGGATCACATTTATTTGAACTTATGAAGACCTTAAGTGGTATCCAGTAAATTCTGGAACCAGATTCTGGTGACATGCTGGAAAAATAAAGAACAAATAAATGAAAAGACTGAGATTTAGAATGGCTGGGAGGGAAGATCAGGAAGGTCTGTGACCGGGCATGGTAGTTCTCCAGTCACAGCGGCGAAAACAAAGGCAAGACTACAAAACATACTAGCTTGAAGTTGATCGGCGACCTTTATTCTGGTCTTTATCATTCACTAAGCAGCCTACACAAATCATGTTCTTTCTCTGCCCCATGAAGCAGCAGCTGCCTCTAGGCCACAAATGGAAGACACAAGCAGTGGGAGACCTTGCACAGAAAAGCTAACAGGTGAGAGCTCTGTTTATTCCGGCTTAGGTGAAGGTAAAACAGGCAAAGTGTGGAAGTGCAACATTCCAAGGACTCAACAGTCTTCAGAGCTGAGGCCTGCAGAGAGCTAGGTGAAGGATGCAGGTGAAGGCTCACAAATCTGCCCAGCTCGGCAATCAATCCAAAGTACCTAAAAAGACAAACAGCAACGTGTAAAGCAAGGTGCCTCAAGAGCTGGATGAGTGTAACAAACTGGGCAAGGTTCAAGTGCAAGCTGCTTTGGCATTGGCTGTTCTCTAAGACCAAAACATGTGATTTTTTTTTTTTTTTTTTTAGCTGAGCCATCCTGCCACCTGTTGGCAGCTCAGCAGCAGCTCAGCTCAGCCTGAGAATCGAACCGGCAACCCTGTTGCTCAGAGCTCGCACTCTTGAGCGAGCTCTTAACCAACTGAGCCACTCGGTCGGCCCCCAAACATGTGATTTAAAGAATATCCATCTAAAAGATCCTCGGGGGAAAACCTGTCAGTACAGAGGCTGGGCAGTTGGGAAGCAAGCACACTGGTCTGGAGAGTTAGAATTAGAGGTGGGAAAAGGGCTAAGAAGTTGTTAATGAGCATTTATGGAGACCATACAAGGGGTGAGTGATACAAAATACATTAGTCCTCTAAGCCCAGAGTTTATAATCTTTTGAGAAAGCTCCAGTTGAAGATGGGAGACTGAGCCCACAGGTTTGTATGCCCTCCCATTCAAGAATCCATTCAAAAGAAAAAATGGTTTAAACAAAAGATATAAATCTACAACAAAAATGGGGCTCCATCAGTAGTTAAGAGATTTCAACAATACAGTAACAGAAATCTCACTGAAATATGTTTATAAATAGCACAGAGGGAAAATGAGCCTAGAAATAACACAGAGGGAGCTGCAGGACAGATGGAAGCCCATCTTCCTAAAAGACCCATAGGGAGGCTGCAGATTCAGACGCCAGTAATGACAGAAAGAGAAACAAGGCTAAATGGGTTAATGACTCAAGGGTTTATCTGAGGAAGAGCTGACCCCACAACCCACTCTGCATAAAGTACTAACAGAAAACAAGTATTTAAACCTAACTTGGGGTGGAGGGAGGGGAATCAGAGGGCTCTCTTAAGAACTAAGTAAATTATCTAGAGAACTAGAACAGCTTCTGAAAACACTAGCTCCCGACAGTAAAGCTTTCTGCATTCTGGCCTTTGGGGGGCCCCCAGCCTAACATCTAGTCCCATCCCTGCTCATCCTAAAGTAACTCTAACAGACAAAAGCCACACACACACACAAACACTTTCCAACAGACTTCTTATTCCCTCATTCTTAAATAGAATGAAAATTACCAGGTATTTAAAGAAAGCCTACAAAGTGAGAAACCAAAATTTATTTTTCTTAATAAAGCAATAATGCAAATTCCTGCTGAGACCAACTGTTAAAGCTGATTAAAATACTTTTAAAAAGAAAATCCTTTAGGCATTGAAGAAGCATCGAAAGAAAGCAAATCCAAAATCTAGAAAAGGCAAGAGTGAAAAGTAAATCCAGCCTTCAAAGCTGCTTCTGCCCTGAGAGCATCTGCCATTCCAAAAGATAGAGCTAACAATTTGCTATGATTTTGGCAGACTGAGCGAACCAGGAGTCAAATCCCAGAGTCTGCTCAAGTGGGAAGGTCTGATAACCTGTTCTGCCCCACACTCCCACTTTTTTTTTAAACTGGAGTCCCAAGTGGCTACAGACAAAACCAGAATTAAGTCAGCCCTTTCACAGGCCTACATTAGAGTTCTTATGTCAACAATGGCCCATGAATCCTCAAGTCTTGGCTCTGGATTAAGGCGATCCTGCACTGATAAAGAAATTAAGGTGCCCTGCAGAAGCACATGAAAATCTTCTTTGGAGAAAGGTTTCATCATACAGTCCTCAAATTACCCAACAAATAATTTTTCAAGTACAGTGAACAATCGGCATAACTAGGCATACAGAAAAAAAAAAGAAAAAGACCATGAGACAGTACCAACAGAAACAACAGACCAAAAACAAAAAACAAAACAAAACAAAAAAAGCTTCGAAAGGCTTTGGATAGTAGATTGGACACAGACTATAAAACAATTGTGCTTGCTATATTTAAAAAAAATAAAAGACAAGCTTCAAAATATCTACAGAAAATACAGCTAAGTCACAAATAAATTTGAAAAATAACTAAATGGAATTTGCAAACAGAAAAATAAAAGAACAAAAACTGAAACTAAAAAATCAACAGAAAAGTTTAAAGGAGATGAGACCACTGAAGAGAGAATAAATAAACTGCAAGGTCAGAAAAACTACACAGAATGCATCATGGAGAGGCACAATTATGGTTGAGTTTTAACATATGTTTAATAGGAATCCCAGAGAGAAAGGAGATAGAAAAAACAAAACAGAGCCAATATTTGAACAGTTATGGGCTGAGAATGCTCCAGGAGAGATGAAAGACATTAATTCACAGATTTAAAAAGCCTAAGCAGAC